CTTTTTTTTTCTTTTTTCAATTCTTGGATTTTTTTGTTCTGATTATTAGTAAGTCTTGTAACAAATTTAAATCGAGATTCTATTAGAACCTTATACTATATATCTATTCTACTAGTAGTTTTCTTTCTTCTTTTTCCAAATTTTATTATTAGCCTGAGAGTCTTTAATGTTTATTTGGTATACTACCTCTATTACCCATTCTGTTGATGTTCTTGGTGTGATTTTTGGTTTTGTTTTCTCTTGAGTCTTGTTTAGTACTCTTACTTTTGTAAGATCTAGGATATCTTATCTATTACTTCTTTTTTTTTTCTTTCTAGCTTTGTTTTTTTTTTCTATATCTGCTACAGTAAAATTAACAAATACTTTGAAATATACTACTAGAGTTCTTAATACTATTTTATTGTTTTACCATTGTTGAGTTTTTTTTTGTTCTTGGAGTCTTTTGCTCTAATCTAGATTCAACTTTAATCTTAATTTAGCAGCTTGTTTTTCCTTTTAATAGGCTTCTAACTCTAGTTTTAACTTTAATTTTGCTATTTGTTTTTTTTTTCGTCAGGCTTGCATCTTTTCTTTTTCTTCTTTAGCTTTCTTTTTTGTTAAATATTGGTTTGCTATAATAATTTTGACAAATTTTTTGAATTGCTATGTTAGATTTCTTAAGACTATTCTATTGTATTGCTATTGCTACTCTTTCTTTGTTCTTGAAGTCTCTTGCTCTAATTTGTTTCTAATTTTGACTTTAATTTGGCAGCTTGCTTTGCTCTAATATCTATTATCTCTCTTAGCCACTTAGCCATATCTAATTCACATATAATCTTATTTATTTCCTCAATTATAATATAGGCAGCTATGTTTATATCTTCTAAACTTGTTTCATGATAGTATTAAAAGTTTCTTTTTCTAAATACAAGATCTGAGTACTAAATTTCTTCTTTTCTATATTGACGTAATTCTTTATATAGAGCTTCTATTTGTATTTTCACTTCTTCTACTTTAATGAGTATCATATTTGTTGCTAGTTTTTTTAATATTTGTTTTATAATACTTGCTCTTTTATTATCCAATATTTGTACTAATTCTTGTTGAAAAAATACTTGATTTTTTTTATTATTTCTTGATTATAGATTGGCTACTTCTTGTTTTTTAAGCTCTATAACAGGCCAAATCTACATTACGATGATTAATCAGGTTGTAATAGCTTTAACAACAATAGCATACAAGAGACAAAGATTGATCATAACCTGAATAAATAAGAAGTTAATTAATAATACATGTAGTGAGAGTAAACTAGAAAAAAATTGGAAATAATACGTATCGTGCTTGTCATATTCATGTAATATGATCATAATTATTAATCATGATTGTGTACCTAGAAATTAATTAATTAATTAATGTAGGGTTATAGTTTATTTGATAATACATATAAAGAATAATGTAATTAATAATAGTTAGTAATAGTTTATTGTAGAATATAAAAAAGAAAAAGTATAAAATAATAAAGAAACTAACCTGCTATTCTAAAAAAAATTCAGTTGTTGTCTTTAGTAACAAACGTGGTTGTTAGCACAATTATATTTGGTAATAGCAGAAAATAGTTTTATTGATAATACTATGGTGTTGACTTTGCTACTTATCAAGATGATTATTTTATAATAACACAATAGTATTTCAACAAGTTTGTTGAAAGGTTTATTATGAACCAAGATAATGTTAATACTCAACTTGTTTAAATTCTTTAGAACCAAAACACCCAAGCCTGAAATGCAACTGAAGGTTTAATCTACGTTCATAGACCTTCGCAAACAAAAGAGTTGTTAGTTCAACTGCTGATGTTCTACAAAAAAGAGGATGAGAATGTTATGATATAGTTACTCCAAGTTGATCTATTGTATAAAGCCTGCAAAATCAAAGATGAGAAATGTTTGCAGTACATAATAATTAGTTTAAAAGATGAGGCACTCCAGTAGTATTTGAATAAGGTTCAAGTGTATGAAAGACAAAACCCATTTGACAATTAGAATAATTTTGTAAAAAAATAAAATCAGTATTCTAGTCTCCACAGTATCAACAATATTTAAGAAAGCAGTTGAGAAATATTAAATAAACCTCGATAGTACAAGAATATACTTCAAGATTCAGAAACATATTTGAACAAGTAGAAAGTATAGATGAAGCCAACAAGAGCCTTTATTTTACAAAAAGATTAAAACCAGCCACCAAGACAAAAGTTAATTACCGGTTACCTGATAATCTAGAAGATATGATTTGCTTGGCAACAATATATGATACTGTGATGTATAGCGTTGAAGAAGCAGGATATCAAGTTTCAGATGAATTCAAAAATCATAGTTCAAGAATAAGTACTTCAGAGAACATAGAGGTAATACCAATAGAACTTGACAGAACAGAAGCTATAAAGTTTCAAAAAAATAAAAAAATAGTTACTAACAAAACCATAAAAAGAGCAATATTAAAGGAATATAAACAAAAAGATTTATATTTCAAATGCAGGCAGAAAGGCT